GTAGGAGAGGAGCCAGTTTTGCTATAACAATTTTCTCTCATTAGAATTAACTTGCTGTCCCATAAGAACTACTTTAAACTCTTCTAAAGATAGTATGCCCAGTGACCTCTTATTAAATTTGACTTCTTATATAACCCACTGGGTAGGTGGGGCAGGGGAGGGAAACTGAGTTTCTAACCCATGAACCCTTGAGGGACATATTCAAACCACATCTAATCCATAGCCACCTATTACAGACATCACTAGTCAATCACAGGATTCATTTTTGTTGGGATCTCAAAATCCTTCTGAATACACAGTGCCAGGAAATGTCTACTAATGAAAACCGCCCGAAATGTGAAACAACTTACATCCTTGAAACTGTCCACTCTATATCTAGCTGACAGGATGGTGGAGGTCTAGAAGCTCAAATGGGATGGGGTATAGCCTTCTTTTTTTTCTTCCCCACCTGGCCAGTTGCTGATTCCAATGATCACGGGTGAGAAAGTCCCTGATGAGAGGACAAACGAGATACTGGAAGATGTGAAGAAAAGCCTTTTACAATTCGAGGAGAAATTTCTGCAGGACAAAATGTTCATCACTGGGGACCACATTTCACTGGCTGACTTGGTGGCCTTGGTGGAGATGATGCAGGTGTGAGGTGAAGTAGTTGGTGGGCAGAGGCAGATGTTTCTGAGATCAGTGGGAATATAACTTAAGGATAGACTAGTGAAGTAGGAAGGGGAGGCAAAAAGTTGTGTCCAGGTCTGGGTGCCTGAACTCCATCTTGAGGCAATAGGAAGAAAGGGCAGAAGGTTTTGAATCAGGGAGGAGAGTGATCATGTCTGTGTATATGTGTGTTTGTGCGGGCAAATGTGCGCATGTGCGCCTGCCTGTCAGGACTGAGGCTTAAACTCAGAGCCTGGGCACTGTCCTTTGGCTTTATCTGCTTAAGGATAGTCCTCTAGCATTTGAGCCACAGCTTTACTTTAAGAATTTTGCTGGTTAACTGGAGAGAGAAGAGTTTCACAGACTTTACTTCCTGACTTTGAACTGAGCTCCTTTGATCTTAGACTCCTGAGTAGCTAAGATTGCTGGAGTGAGCCACTGGCACTGGCTCTGATTTTCTATCTTGACAAGGATTCTAAGGTGTGGGGAGGAGGTAGAGGGTGAACCTGGGATGCAGAGAACATCATATTTCTCTGTTCATTCACCAGGACCCCAGATGCCTTTTCCTTCTAGTGGACTCGCCAGGAAATAGAGGCCTCTGGCCTTGCCTTTTCTTACCCCAGAACTTCAGACAGGGCAACTGGTTCTGAGGAGTATTCACTATGCATTTGGAGGTACACCTAGGGATGGAACTTTTGCAAGGTTTTTATAAGCACAGGAGGGTAGCTAGTTTTGACCTAGCTGGTGTATACAGGCAAGATGGCCACTTTGGGATACTGGCCAATGTCTTGAGAGGCCAACCATAGTCTGTGGCCAATATGTAATGTGGCCACTTTGGTCCTCTGCAGTGCAGAGAAGCACCAGGACAAACTATTCCAGCCTGGCCCATACTCTTTCTATGTCACTCAACTCACCCCCTCTTGGGCCACCTGAACATTTCAGGTGTGTATTTCTTTGTGTGTGTGTGTGTGTGTGTGTCTGTGTGTCTGTGTGTCTGTGTGTCTGTGTGTGTCTGTGTCTGTGTACATGCATATGTGTGTATGCTATTATTGGAGCTTGAATTCAAGGCCTTCGCACCCTCTCTTGGCTTTTTTCACTTAAGGCTGGCACTCTACCACTTAAGGCATACCTCCACTTTCAACTTTTTCTGGTTAGTTGTAGATAAGAGTCTTAGGGACTTTTCTGCCTGCACTTCTTAATCCTAAAACCTCAACCTCCTAAGTGGCTAGAATTACAGATGTTAGTCATCAGCATTGGGTACTTTTTTTGGGGGGAGGGACTGGTACTGGGGCTTGAACTCCGGGTCTGGGTGCTATCCCTTAGCCTATCTGCTCAAGATTGGTGCTCTACCACTTGAACCAAAACTCTACTTCTAGCTTTTGGGTGGTTAATTGGAGATAAGAATCTCATAGACTTCCCTGCCAAGGCTAGCTTTGAACTGTGATTCTCAGAACTCAGCCTCTGGAGTAGCTAGGATTAGAGAAGTGTGAGCCCCTGGCACCTGGCAGAGTATATGTTTTAATTAATTAATTAATTTATGCATACATGCATGCATGCCAGTCCTGGGGCTTGAACTCAGGGCCTGGGCACTGTCCCTGAGCTGCTTTGCTCAAGGTTAGCACTGTACCATTTGAACCACATCACCACTTCCAGCTTTTTCTATTTATGTGGTACTGAGGAATTGAATCCAGGGCTTCATGTGTGCTAGACAAGCACTCTACCACTAAGCCACTTTCCCAGCACAGAGTTTGTATTTTTTCAGAAGACAGCTGAACTATGAGTCAGCCAGCTAGCTGAATCTCCTTTTTTTATCCTTTGTGCTTTATCATTGGTGGAGATTCTATATGTAGATGGCCGTGGGGTGGGAGGGAGACTTAGTTCCTCTCACACATACTCCCTTGAACACAAGGGGCTTCCCTGGAAGAAGGCAAAGATCCATGGAAGATTTTTCAGGCTGGAGAAGTGGCAACCATTTTAGGCCAGGTGTCACCTCAGAGAGAGGTTTGAGATCCTTGGAATAAGACCAGTGATCAACAACCCTGGAGGTTTCTGGGTCCTCCATACAACCCAACATCTAATTATACACTTCTGATTCCTAGCCAAGCCCCAATTTCAACAGATGGCTAACTCTTTGGGGGATGTTAGAGAGGTCCCTGAGGCTATAGGAGATGACCTGAGTGGGAGGTGGTACCCAGGTTAAGCACATTTTCCTCTCTGTCTATCCACAGCCCATGGGAGGAAAACATAATGTCTTCCTCAACAGTAACAAGTTGGCCGAATGGCGTATGCGTGTAGAGCTGGCCATTGGATCTAACCTCTTCTGGGAGGCTCATGACCGGTTGTCACAGTTGGCAGAATGGGACTGTTCAACACTGGATCCAATGGTCAAGGAGAGGATCCGTGGGTTTCTGCGGAAGTACAAGTGACCCGGAAGCAAGGGATCCAACAGGGCCTGGCTGGCTCAGCCCTTTGAACCTCTTCCTGTAAGGGAGACCTTAAAAAGCAACTCTGTTCCTTGGCCTAATAAAGAAGTGGAACAACCAGCATGACTGTGAAGTCAGGGATAGTTAATATAAGCAGAGATCTTATAGCTACTCAGAAGGCCAAGATCTGAGGATTGTGGTTCAAAGCCAGCCTAGGTAGGAAAGTGTGTAAGACTCTTATCTCCAATAAACTACTAAAAAAAAAAAAAAGGCTGGTGGCTTATGGCTACAATCCTAGCTACTCAGAAGGCTGCGATCTGAGGATCATGGTTCAAAGCCAGCCTGGGCAGGAAAGCCCATGAGACTCTTACCTCCAATTAACCACTAGAAAATTGGAAGTGCTGTGACTCAGAGTAGTAAGAATGTTACCCTTGAGAGAAAAAGCTCAGGGACTGTGTTCAGGCTCTGAGTTCAAGCCCCACTACACACACACACACACACACACACACACACACACAGAGTCAGAAATGGAGCTGTGACTCAAGTGGTAGTGTTAGCCTTGAGCAAACAGAAACTCAGGGACAGAACCCAGGCCCTGAGTTTAAGCCCCAGGACTAGCACTATATATGTGTGTACATATGTGTGTGTGTGTGTGTGTGTGTATATATACACACACATAAACGTGTATGTACATATACACAGATATACACACACATGTGCGGAGAGCCTAATGTGGGAGCAGGTAGTCATCTTGGATCCTCTCTGTTTCCAGAAAGTAAATATTAAGCCAGCCACTAGTAGTTCACCCCTTAATTTTAACTACTCAGGATCCCAGAATTGAGATGTTAGCTAGGTCAGGAATGTCTGAGACTTATCTCCAATTAATTACCAAAATAGCCAGAGGTGGGTTGAAGCACAAAAAGCTCAGGGACAGCACCTACACACTGAGTTCAAGCTCCAGTATAGGCTCCTCTGGCCTCTCTCAAAAAAGAAGTTTGAAAGGGGCTGCTGTGACCCTACCACACTACGAGGACACAACAAGGAAATGCTATCCTCAAAGCAGAGAGTGAGTCTTTAGTAGACACTGAATTGGCTAAAGGATCTTGGGACTCACTAGCCTCCCAAAGTGTGCGCAAGAATGTCTATTGTTACCCTGGCATTGTCGGTGGCTCATGCCTATAATCCTAGCTACTCAGGAGGCTGAGATCTGAGGAACGTGGTTCAAAGCCAGCCCCAGCAAGAAAGTCCGAGAGACTCTAATCTCCAATTAACCACCAGAAAACTGGAAGTGGTGCTGTGGCTCAAGTGGTAGATCACTAGACTTGAGCTGAAGAGCTCAGGGACAGCCAGCAGGCCAGAGTTCAAGCCCCACAACTGGGGGAAAAAAATGTCTATTGTTTACCAATGACTCCATGGATAGGATATTATGTAACAGCATACTTAAGACTAAACCCTCTAGGGAATGTGATTCAGAGGCTAGCACTGTCCGGAGCAGAAAATCACCATCTATTTCCTGCCAGTGCTTTTGGAGTGATCACAAAATGCTGAAAATGCATTGAAGCTTTACCCCCTGCTGGCACCAGGATCTTTGGAGAGTTGGTAGAGGATGGATTCTCCAGTCAGACTTTCTGGGTCTATCATCATCATGTAGTGCCTGTAAAATGGAGATAGTTGGAAATTCTGACACTCACAGAGACAAGAATATGCCTTGAAGACATTATGCAAAATCAAATAAGCCAGTCACTGAGACTAGGACCTCTTTTATCTCCCTTGCATCCTGCAGGGAAAATGATCTCTGATGTGCTAGGGTTGAGACTCCAGAAACTCCACTCCTTCCCTGGTGGTCAAAAAGCAGTCAGAAAGTGTCCAGAGCCTGGGGCCTCCCAATGGGGTGTGGCCACAGCTGGGTTAATCCCAGCCCCTAGCCAGCAGCCTGCGTTTTGGTTGTGAGTCTCCGGTTCTCTCTCCAACCATGGGCCTGGAACTCTACCTGGACCTGCTGTCCCAGCCCTGCCGAGCCATCTATATCTTCACCAAGAAGAATGGCATAACCTTCCAGCAGCACACTGTGGAACTGCTCAAAGGTGGGTTGGGAGGCCCGAGGAGGGGAGGGTCAGACTGGGAAGCAAAAAGCTTAGGGAATCTCTTCTAGTGCTACCTACTTTCTGGAGCCTTTGCTGATCTGATTTGGAGACAAAATGAGAAAGGTGAACCACCAGGTGGATACAAGATTCAAGATGATTCCCCCACACCTTTCTGTTGCTTGAAACGGACAACAAGGGCTCAGCTGAAGAGAAAGGAGGAGGAGGGGCATGAAAAGAGAAACCGGGAGGACAGGAAAAGAGAAGCCTAGACCAGCACAATTGGGTGTGGCCTGGGCCTCCGGAGAAGAGGTGGTGGGAGAAGACGGGCTAGAGGATCAAGTGTACAGATTGTGACAGCCAGGCCGCTCCTTTGTGGTCTGCTGTGCTTAGGTTACTGGCTTTCTAGCCAAGGTCTGGCTTTCCAGTCATGCACTTCTGCCCTATGCTAGTTCTGATGATCTACCCCTTTGTTCCTCTGGCTTGCCTCTTTCCTCAGTTATCCTACTGGGGAGGGCAGCTGCCCCCATGAAATTTCTAGAAACAGGAGCTCCCTTTACCCCCAAGGCAGGGCTTGGTGAACTCTGGACTATAAGCGCAGGATGTTTGTTTCTTTGGCAGGCTGCCTAGGTCCCGAAAGGACACAGCTGGAGGGGGTAGGCGAATCAGAGTGGTAGGAGGGGATGGCAGCTGATGGGGGGGGGGGGTGGTAGAATGGGGTGGCAGCCAGTTGGCAGCAGAATGCCCATCTTGATGCTGCTGAATAGGAAAATGGACACTACTTAGCTAAACTTTCTACTCAGTGCACCTGCCACCATGGTGGGCCCTCTCCAGCCTTTGTGCCTTTTGACTTTCTGTTTACTCCTCTATCAAAACTTCATATCTCCCATCCTGTTTCTGGTCACCACAGAGATTGCCCTTGGCTAATAGGACCGAAGAGAGGGCCCCAGGGTCAAGGGGATATCCAAGTTTGCTGCCAAATACAGGGATGCAGCCGACAGTTCCTAGGGGAAGGATCTACCCAAGGGAGGGGTAATGAGAGGGTGGCCAGGAGGCAAGAGAGAAAAGGCAATTGTGTATGACTTTGAGGAGCTTCCAAGGGTAATGGGAAGTCCCTGAGCACAGAACAAAGCTGCAGTGAGACAAGTATTCTCAGTGTCTCTATGGTTGCATCTGTGGGAGCAAATAAAAACTACACATATAAGCCCAAACAGAGGCCTGAGTCTCAGAGGCCTCTGTGTCTCTCAGAACTGTAAGTGAGGCAAGTCTCTTAATGAGGCAAAGAGTGTGGACGTTTATTTTGCACCAGAGCATCCCACACCCCTTCTCCCATAGTAGCCCACAGCCTTTCCCATTCCAGTAACCGGTGGGGAGAGGAGTCATGAATTTGGGAACTGGGAGTAGGCCAGACTACACAGAAGACTTGGTTATTCTACTCCCAACTCTCTCATGCGGGGCTATCTGCAGGCCAGCACCTCAGTGATGCCTTTGCCCAGGTGAACCCCCTGAAGAAGGTGCCAGCCATGAAGGATGGGGACTTCATCTTGACTGAGAGGTAATCAGGACTAGGGATGCTGACACCATCTGGCCCTGCCTGTTACAAAGAAACAAAAGTGCTCAGAGGTTAAAGGCTTCTTGGCCATCCCACAGAAAGTTGGGGCCGGGGAGCTGGGAATGTGGCTTAGTGGTAGAGCGCTTGCCTAGCATGCACCAAACCCTGGATTTGATTCCTCAGTACCACATCCACAGAAAAAAAACAGAAGTGGCTCAAGTGGTAGAGTGCTAGCCTTGAGCAAAAGGAGCTCAGGGAGAGCACCCAGACTGAGTTCAGCCCCAGGATTGGAAAAAAAAAAAAAGAAGAAGAAGAAGAAGAAGAAAGAAAGTTGTGGCTGGAGCCCAGGCCTCTGCCTGTCTGCTATTGCAATTCATCAGGCAGTGTTGAAATATCAGGCCATCTGAGGTTGGTCTGAATGCCAGAGGATGAGAGTAGATACAGACTGGCATGATCCACAGATCATCCAGGCTCCGCTTGGATGCCATCTCCTCCAAGAAGCTCTCCCTATTCCTCTGACCAGAAATGACCACTTGACACTTGATGAGTCACTCTTACAGAATATTGTCTGGTCAACAAGGTGAATTTGATTATTTACTAGCCTCAGAAAGCCTCTCATCTCTGTCATCAAGAGCAAATCCCTTCCCCTTTCAAAGATTGCTTTCTCTGTTTGGAAAATGAAGGCAGGTTGTTAGGAAGATCAAGTCCCTAGTTCTTCATTTACCCATTATGATATTCTCCCCATCCCCCCACCCCAACACCCACACAGTGTGGCCATCTTGCTCTACCTGGCACATAAATATAAGGTTTCAGACAACTGGTACCCTCAGGACCTGCAGGCCCGTGCCCGTGTGGATGAGTACCTGGCATGGCAGCATACAACCCTGAGGAGAAACTGCCTCCGGGCCTTGTGGCATAAGGTGAGTTTGGAAAGGTGGGAGGGACAGTCAGGGGCTCAGGCAACATTAATTCTTTTCAATTTGGATCTTCTTCCTCTTCTTCTTACTCTTTTCTCCTCTTCCTCCTCTTTTTTTCTCTTCCTCCTCCTTTTTTTCCTCTGCCTCTTCCTCCTTCCAATATTGGAATTTGAATTCAGAGTCTTGCACTTGCTAGGCAGATGCTCTATAACTGAGCCATGCCTCCAGTCCTATTTACTACTGTTTTTGACTTCGCCAGTCCGTCTGTTATTTCCTGGGTTTCTGTGAAGCCCATCTAATATATTCTTTATTTGAGATAGGTATTTTTCATTTCTAGAAATTCCATTTGATCATTTTTACAGAGTTCCATTTCTCTTCTGAGATTTGCCCATTTTTTCTTTAAAAAACATTTATCTTTTGTTAACTAATTTTAACACGAATTTTCTGTGGTTCTGTTTCTATTGATTTTTTCCTATTGATTATGGGTCATATTTTCCTCCTAATCCTCCTCTTCCTCTTTCTCTTCTTCCTCTTTTTCCTCTTCTTCTTCCTCCTCTTCTTCTTCCTTCCTCTCCTCTTCTTCCATCTCTTCTTCTTCCTCCTTTTTCCTTTCTTTTTTTCTTGTTGTGGGGCTTGAACTCAAGGTCTGGCCACTGTCCATGAGATTTTGTACTCAAGACTAGTGATCTACATCTTGTGCCACGGCTCCACTCCTAATTTTTTGGTGGCTAATTAGAGACAAGCGTATCACAAAATTTCCTGCCCAGGCTGGTTTTGAACTGTGATCCTCAGATTTCAGCCTCCTTGAGTAGCTGGGATTACTGGCATGAGCCAGTATCCAGTGTCTGGTTACTTTCCTGCTGATGTACATGTTTCATAAGTTATTATTGTGTACCAGAGGTTGTATATAAAAGAAGAGTAGACATTGAAATACTTTGAGCTGGAGGTGTGGCTCCATTGGAGTGTCTACCTCGCAAGCACATGTCCTATAAATTCCAGTACCACCACAAACAACAACAACAACAAACCTGGCCATTCAAGAGACTGAGATCCTCAGATCAAGGTACAAAACTGGCCTAGGCAGGAATGTCTATGAGGCTTTTATATCCAACTAATCAGCAAAAAGCTGGAAGTGGGGATGTAGATCAAGTGGTAGAGGCCTAGCCTTGAGCCAAAAAACTTAAGAAACAGTGTCCAAGCCCTGAGTTTGCCTCAATACCATCACACACACAAAAAAAGAATGAAAAAGAAAAATGTTGGGTGCTGGTGGCTCACATTTAATCTTCACTACTCAGGGAGTGAGCTCTGAGGGTCTCAGGTCAAAGCTAGACTGGGCAGACAAATTTTATCTCCAATAAACCACAATAAAGTTGAAAGTGGAGGTAGGACTCAAGTGGTAGAATCCCAGCCCTGAGCTTAAAAACTAAGCAGTAGTGCAAGGCTCTGAGTTTAAGCCCTAGTAAGCAAATAAAAGTACATTGTGGGAAATGACCCATGCAACTTGTAGGCAGGGACAGAAGAAGGAAACTGGGAGAATGTAAAGGGGTGGCCTTGTTCATAAAAAGAAATGTACTCCAAGCCGGGCACTGGTAGCTCATGCCTGTAATCCTAGCTACACAGGAGGCTGAGGTCTGAGGATCGTGGTTCAAAGCCAGCCCAGGCAGGAAAAGCTGTGAAACTCACATCTCCAATAAACCACCAGAAAACAGAAGTGGCACTGTGGCTCAAGTGGTAGAGCGCTAGACTTGAGCTGAAGAGCTGAGGGACAGTGTTCAGGCCCAGCATTCAAGCCCCATGATCAACCAAAAAAAGAAAAGAAAACAAAAAAGAAATGTACTCATTAACTGACTTAAGAAATGGTTACCATCTGGGCACTGATGGTTCATGCCCACAATCCTAGCTACTCTGGAGGCTGATATCTGAGGATTGCTGTTAGAAGCCAGCCAGAGGCGGGGAGGGGAGAGGCTGGGAAGGGAGGTGAAGGGTAAACAAAGGAGGAGGCTGCAATGCTTGGTAAGAAATGTATCCATTATCTTGCCCATGTAATTGTAACCCCTCTGTACAGTATGTTCTCAAATAAAATAAAATAAAATAAAATAAAAAAAAAAGAAGCCAGCCAGAACATAAAAGTCCCCGTGAGACTCTCATCTCCAATTAACCACTCAAAATCCAGAAGTAGCACTGTGGCTCAAGTTGTAGAATGCTAGCCTGAGCACAAAGAGGCTCAGGGGCAGTACCCAGACCCTGAATTCAAGCCCTACAACCAACAAAAAATGAAAAATAAAAAAAGAAATGGTAACCCCTCTATACAATACCTTAATAACTAAAACTAAAAACTAAAAAACAGACATCTCAAGACATCGCAACAAAACTCCCCCTGTTCAATGATTGATTCCATTTGTTCAGTTGTTTACTTTCAGGTCTAGGTTTATGGTTCAAAACTCAAGCAAACTTTCACTGTTCTATTATGTTTATGCTACGTTATCCCCTTAAAATTTTGTATGTCTTACCTATCCAATTTCTGCACAAGTGTAATACTTAACAGTAAAAGTCCTGGCTCAAGACTTTGATATGATAGCCAATGCCTAACAGAATACGAAAAAAATTAAACTTCATAGTGAAATCTAGGGACACTTGACCTAAAAAGTTCTCTTGCCCCTGAATGTGGCTAAAATAATTTGTACTGACTCCTCCCTCCACCATGAGACCAGACCAAACTAATCTAACCTGGCACCAAGACTTCAAAATAACTTATCAGTGATGTTTCCATAGAAATATCTGGTGAAAGGAGGAAGCACAAAACTTATTGGTACCAAAATGGAGTTACTTAAGTCAAACTAACAAAATGGAGTCAAGAGAGGCCATGAAAAAGGAGCACTCATGTATCTTTGTCTTTTTTTTTTTTTTTTTGCCAGTTATGGGGCCTGAACTTTGGATCTGGGCACTGTCCCTCAGCTCTTCAGCTCAAGGCTAGTGCTCTACCACTTGAGCCACAGCGCCCCTTCTGGCTTTTTCTGCTTATGTGGTACTAAGGAAATGAGCCCTGGGCCTCGTGCATGTACAGGCAAGTACTCTACCACTGAGCTACCTTCCCAACCCATGTGTCCATTCTTATCACAAGACGTTCCAACACGTAGACTGGTAATAGGATTTACTGGAAGAAAAATTTCAAACTTGCAGTATTCCTGAGAGGCTGCTTGCAGTAGTTACCTGCACCAATGACCAGACACCAACTCCTATAACAAACCTTTGCAATCTTTACTTTCAAAATACCTTACACAGACTCTATCTTTAAGAAATTTCTGTTAATTAGTTTTTTGTTGTTAGTGGTGGTGGTTGTGGGGCTTGAACTCAGGGCTGGGCACTGTCCCTGAGCTTCTTTGTACTCAAGGCTAGCATTCTACTACTTGAGCCACAGCACCACTTCTAGATTTTGAGTGGTTATAAGAGTCTCATAGGAACTTTCCTGGCCAGGTTGGCTTCAAGCTGTAATCCTCAGATCTCAGATTTCTGACTAATAGGATTACAGGTGTGAGCCACCAGCAACTGGCTTGTTTTTTGTAGGTGTTTTTTTTTTTTGGGGGGGGGGGGAAAGGGGGCTTGTTTTTTGGTTAGTGTAATCAAAACCTGAGGTTATTACCTTATAAAGAGAATGTTTATTTTGGCTCACAGCCAAAGGGTATTTTGGCTACCAGCACCTGGCTTAAAATGTGTGTTTTAAACTCTTCTCTACCTCCAAAAAAATCTTTCTAGTTGCTTATAGTGTAAGACATTCTGATTTTAAATTCAGGAGAAAGAAGCTACCAAATAGAAACAGCTACTTTAGTAATAGCATTTTAGTCAACAATGGGTTACACAAGTGATAAAGGTATAAGCGAGCTGAAAAATTGTGGCCACCTAGTAACACTAGGCATTGTAATATCACAGGTTAGTGTATTACACATGTGTTGCATGTGTGTGCAAAGATATAAAAGTGTAACAATGCTCCAGGCACTAGAAGCTCACACCTATAATTCTAGCTACTTAGGAGGCTGAGATCTGAGGATTGAAGTTCAAAGCCAGCCTGGGCAGGAAAGTCCATGTGATTCTTATTGCCAATTAACTAACAAAAACCTGGAAATGGACCTATGGCTCAAGTGGTAGAGCACTAGCCTTGAACAAAATAGCTCAGGGACAGAGCCCAGGCCCTGAGTTCAAGCCCTAGGACCAGCACACATGCGTGCACACATACGTGCACACACACACCGACACACATACAAGTATAACAATGTAACTATGTACAGTACATTGACTTGAAATGATAATATCTTATTTTAGAGTGGACTCTTTCCTTATTTAAAAAAAAAAAAGGTTTGCTGTAGTTGGGCATGGCCAGTGTCTTGTGCCTGTTATCCTAACTACTGAGATCTTGAGGATCACAGTTTGAAGCTAGCCTAGGCTGGAAGTCTGTGAAACTTTTTTGGGGGGTCAGTTGTGGGGCTTGAATTCTAGGCCTGGGCGCTATCCCTAGGCTCTACAGCTCAAGGCAAGTGCTCTACCACTTGAGCCAGTGCCATTTCTGGTTTTTCTGGTGGTTTATTGGAGATAAGAGTCTCTCTTGCCTTTCTTGCCCGAGCTGGCTTTGAACAATGATCCTCAGATCTTAGCCTCCTGAGTAGTTAGGATTACAGGCGTGAGCCACTGGCTCCTGGCTCTGTGAAACTTTTAACTCCAATTAACCACCAAAAAGCTAGACGTAACTGGGTACTAAGGGCTCATGCCTGTAATCCCAGCTACTCAGGAGGCTGAGATTTAAGGATCAAGGTTTAAAGCTAGTCAAGGCAGAAAAGTCTGTGAGACTCTCCAATTAATCCCAGGGAAAAACCCCAGCTCAAGTGGTACAGCAAAAGAAGCTCAGGGATAGCACACAGAATTCAAGCCCTAGCACTGGCAAAAAGATAAGCTAGAAGTGGAGCTGCAGCTCAAGTGGTAGAACACCAGCCTTGAGTAAAATAGCTAAAGAATAGTGCCCAGCCCTGAGTTCCAGCCTCAGTAGCACCTCCAAAAGAAAGTTTACTGTGAATAGTTTGCTGTGTTCTATTGCAGCAGCCTCATACATCTTGAGTTTACTGTGTTTTGATTGTACAAAGATGAAATAATCTCACTCTCATCATGAAATAACATTTTAGTTTGTTGGCTAATTTCTAATTCCACAATATTAGATCCATTGTTGAGGTCCCTATTTGAGTCATTTTCAAAGAGAGTGTGTGTGTGTGTGTGTGTGTGTGTGTGTGTGTGTGTGTGTGTGTGTGTGTTGGTACTTGGGCTTGATTGAACTCAAGGCTTGATTGAACTTGGCTTTTTCCATTCAAGACTAGTGCTGAGCCACAGTTCCACTTCCAGCTTTTTGCTGATTAACTGAAGATAAAAATCTCTTCAATTAATGTGCTTGTGCTGGCTTTCAACCACTCCTCAGATTTTCATCTTTTTGAGTAGCTAGGATTACAGGTGAGCCTTCAAAGAGGTTTGAGTCATTCTGTCTGATGTCCTGAGGCTTAGGGCAATCAGACACAGGGGAAAGCAGGAATCCTTCTATAAAAAGTTGTCCCTTGAGAATCTCCCTGCCAGGCCACTGAAGAAGCAAAAGGCAGCTACAGTAATGTTAAGGGTCTTACCTTACTGTTCAGAAGGCTGGACTTAACTCCTCATTTCTCACTTTGCCTGCTCACCCACCAGGTGATGTTACCTGTCTTCCTGAGGGAGCAAGTAGCTCCAGAGATACTAGCAGCCACTCTTGCAGAATTGGACATGACTTTGCAGTTGCTTGAGGACAAGTTCCTCCAGAACAAAGCTTTTCTTGCTGGGAACTGCATTTCCCTGGCTGACCTGGTAGCCATAACGGAACTGATGCATGTGAGTACTTCTGGGAGGGTGGGCCTACTAGGTAAAGGTTGCTCTGACTACGAACTGAAGTCCTGTTTTTTTCTTGTTTTGTTTTTGTGCCCATACTGAGATTTGTACTCAGGGTCCAGGTGTTTTCCCTTAGCTTTTTCACTCAAGGATGGCACTCTGCCACTTGAACCAAAGCTCCATTTTTGGCTTTTAATTGGTTAACCAGAGATAAGAATCTCATGGGCTTTTCTACCCAAGGTAGCTTTGAATTGGATTTCTCAGATCTCAACTTTCTGAGTAGCTAGGATTACTAGTCTGAGCCACCAGTACCCAGTTTGAAGTTTTGTTTTATGCTGCCTCCACCTACCTATGTATATGCAATTATGTGTGAGAACTCCTGGATCTCTTGAGTTTCCATGCCTGTCTTTGGTTTCCCTCACAGTCCCTTTTACATCCCCTTCTTACTACAGCCTGTGGGTGCTGGCTGCCAAGTGTTTGAAGGTCATCCAAAGCTGGCTGCGTGGAGTCAGAGAGTGAAGGCAGCAGTAGGGGAGGAACTCTTCAGGGAGGCTCATGAGGTCATCCTGAATGTTAAGAACTGTTCTCCTGCCAACCTCACCTTAAAGCAGAAAATGATGCCTGGGGTGCTGGCCATGATCCGCTGAGCTCAGAAATCTCACCCACCCCTGCATTGCCCATGGCAGTCCATTGTCCCACAAAAGTGACTTGCTCTGTTGAACTGCACCTTGATCCTCCAGGCCAAGATTCCATGCCCATCCCCAAGGCTGTCTGAAAGCCATAATAACAGCTCACATCCAGATCTTAGATCACTGAACTTCTTTTTAAGTTTGAGTAATAAATCTGGGCACAGCCCATACCTCTGTTTGTGTGGCATTTATGCTTGTGTGTCATTTATTCGACCACCCTCTTTTCTGTATTTCTCTGTCTTGGTTTCTATCTGAAAGAGAGCCCTTTTCCCAGAACTTCCTTTGGGAGGATCAGCTTTCTCTTAATGATTGCCAATAGTAAAACATACATACTCCCAAGCCTTCCGGTTCTTGAGATTTTTCAGACAGGGATGAGCAAGCAAGCATGTCATGTGTAGGCTACAGCATGGTGATTGCTTATTTGGACAATCAGCATCCCAGAATATGCCATTTCTCTTGTGGGGATGGGGGTAGGCTTTCTGCTTGCTAAGCACCCAGCCGCTTTCCGCTACCCTCCTCTTCCTCCTCCTCCTCCTCCTCCTTGTCCTTGACATGAGCCACCATACCTGGCTATATGCTCCTTTTGGTCAAAGTACTGTTAAGCTCCCTCTCTGTCCTGTATCTATCCTTGAGAATTGGTCAGGAGACCAAAAAAGAAAATCCAGACTATAGTATTCTCCTAATCCAGACCCATTCCAGCAGGGGCTTAAATGTAAACTGTAAACAGAGATAAAGTGCTTAGATTGTATTTTAGATTGCTGTTGGAAGGTGGACTGGTAGGCAGCCAGGTGTAAGCTGGGAGATTAGGTGTTGAAATAATTGGTGGCAAAGGTGAGTTGTGGAAAACTGAGTGTGTGTGTGTGTGTAAAGAATATGTCTCCTGGCTGGGAATGTGGCTCAGTGGTAGAGTGCTTGCCTAGCATGCATGAAGCCCTGGGTTCTGTAATGCCCAGAGACTTGAAGCACCCAAAAAGACCACCAGGGACCAAAGGTCAATGCAAGCGGCAATGAGTCGTTTATTGACGAGCTCGAGCACGGACCCATCTGTGCACTGATGTCCGAGTGCAGAGAGAGGCCCCCAGCACAGGGTTACAGCACTTTTTATATGTTCTTTGGTAGGGGTAAGGCCTCAGTATGTATTGGCAACGAATCAATACACCACGCAGGAAATTTAAATCATAATTCTAGTGGATGATTGGCACAGTACAAAGGGGGGGAGAGTTGGGGCTAATAATTGGTCAGGCTAGCGAGCTATTGTACTCTAAACTAATTAGAGGGTACTTCTAGGGTAATTTAGAAGTGGTTGCCAGATGGCCACTATCTCTGACCCTGACCCGGGGGGAAGTAGTTGCCAGGCAGCCACTATCTCCAGTCCTAGGCCTGGGGAAAGTGGTCTGGAATGTGTCAGGTACTTTGTCAGGTACTCCCTGCCAGAGGGTCGTTAATTTCAGCTCCAGATCCAGGAGTGTCGGGGGCTCAAGTGCCGGTAGAATAGCAGCTGCATTCTTCAAGCAGGTCTAATACAAAATGGCAAATACAGGTCTATCTGGTTATATATATCACGCTTCTCAGTTCAATTCATCAGTACCACATAAACAGCAAAAGCTGGAAATGGCACTGTGGCTCAAGTGGTAGAGTGCTAGCCAGGAGCAAAAAGAAGCTCAGAGACAGTGCCCAGGCCCTGAGTTCAAGCCCCAGGAGCGACCAAAAAGAAAAAGAGGAAGAAGCAAGGAGGAGAAGGAGAAGGGGAAGGGGAAGAAGAGGAAGAGGAAGAAGAAGAAGGAGAAGGAGAAGAAGAGGAAGAAGAAAAGAATATATCTCTTCTCATTCTGGAGAGGTCTGAAGCTTCCACACTGGCAAGAGGATACTCTGCTAGGTCTTCCTTAAAAGGGTACATTTAGGACTAAGAAGTCAAAGGTACCCTCCAGCTTCCCTATATAACCTATCCTGTGGCCAAGGGGTATTATCTGAGTTTCATATTTAGGGAGGAGTCCTTTTCATCCCAAAGGCTCTCTTGGAAAATGGGTATGTTATAGCCACAGGCATCAGGAGCCCCAGAACTGCAATTGAAGGGAGTTGAGCCTATAAAGGAGGTGGAGTTTTGTCCAATTGCAGGCGGGTGGAAACTCCCAGCCCCAAAAGCAATTAGAAGCAGGAAAAAGCACCGGTGGAAAGGGAACTCTGGAGAAGCACCTGACCTCAGGATTTGCGGGGGGGGGGGGGGGGGGGAAATAGCTGATTCCTTTGTGGGGTGTTGATTTGGCCTTTGCAGAGCACGGAGCCAGAGATCCTCCCCAGCCCGCGTCCTTGGCGCTGAGCCCAGGCACTGGTGGGGGCGGGGAAGGCAGCTGCGCTTCCTTTTGTTCCCAGGGACTTGGATGCCACTCCTCTCTGAGCCCTCTCCCGGAGACTGGGGGAGAGTGGAGCTGAAAAACGACCCTTCTTTTTCATCCTCAACTCTGTGAGGGTCTGTGTTGGAAGCGCCCTCGTCCATATCCGATTTGATCACCGAGGAAATCAAAGTCCGGGGAAGTGGCCTGATTGAGCAGTGAGGCTTGCACTGGTGTACAGGGATCCACCCCTCCCCTCCCCCCCCCCCCCCCACCCACCCCACCTCCGCCGATTTTTCCTGCTCGCTTTCTCTGAGAGGGAGAGCATATGGGAGGGGCGCCGTTGATTGGCTCAAAGTTCTCCGGAGCCATCCAATGAGCAGAGGAGGGCGTAGTGGAGGGTGGGTTTGGGGCTTGCGGCTGTGAGCTCCAGCACCAGCCGTTCCTGCCTGTCTGCCCGCCCGGCCAGCCTCGTTGGTCTGCCAGCCGCCGGCACCGCTGTTCCTGCCATGGTCCTAGAGCTCTATCTAGACCTGCTATCCCAGCCCTGCCGTGCTGTGTACATCTTCGCGAAGAAGAACGGCATCCCTTTCCAGCTGCGAACAGTGGAGCTGCTCAAAGGTGAGCCCAGCGGGCGGGCTGGGGAGTCTTGGGCCCCGGGTGTGCAAGTGGACTTCACCTGTCGGCATCCCCTTGTGAACATGCCAGACGTCCAGCCTCAAGCAGGGACGCATTGTTTTAACAGGGTGTTACCACTCAGGAGTCTTTCCCTGCCTATTCCAGCCTAAGTTCCTTCCACTTTGGACATAGTTGCTTTTTCTTGCTTCTGATTGCTCTTGGGACTAGGAGACTAGGAGGTTCCACTCACTGGAGGCCAGCGCCCTCACTTGGAGCTGTAGTATTGCTAGTCTGGCTAGCCTGGAAAAACAGCTGGAGTAGAATCAAGCAGGGCCATAGCTGGACAGTAGGGCAGGCACAGAATCCAGAGCCCTTTAGACCGGCCAGAATACCCCTTGCTCCGCTGAACCCTCCTACTGGATGTCTGTAGTAGCCCCAACTTGAGTCGCCTGGGCAGGAAAGGAACAGGACACAGGCAGTTTGTGTAGGGAGAATGGGCAGGAGTGACAGTGTCCACTCAGGCCAAGGCAAAAGAAGCCATCTACTGGGCCTATTGGTCAAACTGGAGCCTGGCTCAACTGAGGTGCGTGCGCACGCACACACACACATACACATACACACACGAGTACCTAATGTACCCCCCAGTACTTGCCTGGGCTTAGGGATGGGTTATGCAAAAATGAGTCAAACCTTGGAACTCCAAATGAGGTGGGAACTTTGAGGTTTTGACACAAAGTGGAACTGAGTTCAAACTCAGAGATGGACAGAACTGTCTGGGTATAGATCATAGTGTGAAAGAATCCCTCTCCCTCCAAAGCCAAGTTAAGTTTCTGCTTGGGCTAGGCTTTCCCATTGGGGAAACTAGGAGGGGAAATCTCTAATGAGGGTCAGACTCTGTAATCCACTGACAAGCACAGTGGCCTCTTCCCTGAAGAAAACAGTATCAGGTTGGTAAGGTGGCTCAGTGGTAGAGTGCTTGCCTGGGTTTGATTTCTCAGCACTACATAAATAGAAAAAGCCAGAAGTGGCACTGTGGCTCAGGTGATAGGGTGCTAGCCTTGAACTGAAGAGCTGAGGGACAGCACCCCGGGCCAGAGTTCAAGCCCCACAATGGACAAAAACAAAAACAAAAAACATGGTATCAAAATCTAGAGGGTCTGAGTGATCATGGCTCATGCTTGTAATCCTAGATACTCAGGAGGCTGAGGTCTGAGGACTGAGGTTTGAAGCCAAAATGGGCAGAAAAGTCTGTGAGTCCCTTCAATTGACTACAAAAAGTCAAAAGTGGAGCTGTGGCTCAAGTGGTAGAGCACTAGTCTTGAGCACAAAAGCTTGGAAACAGTGCCCAGCCCCAGAGTTCAAGCCCTAGAACTGGAAAACAAAAAAACAAAACAAAAACCAGTTTAGAGGAATGTCAGGCAAATATCTCAAGTCTCAAAGGTCTTCTCCCTATCTCCCACTGATCTCCCCCACAGGCCAGCACTACACTGATTCCTTTGCCCAGGTGAACCCTTTGAAGAAGGTGCCAGCCTTGAAGGATGGGGACTTCATCTTGGCTGAAAGGTAATGAATCCCTAGCCTGCAGTTGAACTTTGTGTATACAATCACTATTGTTCACAAGCCCTGGTTGGAGCCTGGGCTTGTGTATACAAAGTTTTTTGTTTTTTTTTTTTACCAGCCCCAGGGTAGAGAATGGGCTGAAGTTAGCAGGGGAATCTAGGGCTAAAAAGGGTTGTTGATGGCATATTCTAGGCCATGCTAAATTGTACAGATGAAGAAACTTCCCTGGGCAAAGGGAGTTACTTGTATTAGATGGAGGTCCCAGTTATCTGCTAGGCTCCTTCCCTGTAACCCAAGCCTCAGAAGGAAGGAGAGTATAAGTTGGAGAGCAGACCCCAAGCAGATGGAAAACTACTTCTCTTGTAGATCCTGGGGGACATTCTGTTTCCCTGGGGAGTTGAACTAAGCCTCAGTGAGCTTAGCATCTATCAATACCAGGTGCTGGGCACTGGTGGCTTACACTTATAATCCTAGCTACTTGGGAGGCTGAGATCTGAGTAGTGAGGTTTGAAGCCAACCTACGGGAGAAAGTCTATGACACTCTTATCTCTAATTAAGCCAGAAATGGAGCGGTGGCTCAAATGGTAGCATGTCAGTCTTAAGCAAAACTTCTAAGAAACAGTGCCCAAGCCCTGAATTCAAGCCCCATTAATGAATATTGTGTGTGTGTTGTGTGTGTGTGTGTGTGTGTGTGTGTGTCTGTCTGTCTGTCTTGGTTTCCACATACAAAATCAACACCAGCCCCATCCAGACTCTGGGGCTTGAACAGAGAATATGGCTAAGCCCTCATAGGGCTCACATAGAGGGAGGGCTGACAAACAGGTGGTAGGTCATACAGTGATTGCTGTGGAGAAGGTAGGCAGGTGGGAGGGGGTAATTTGGGGTGAGTGATAAAGGCCCACCTACCAAGTTGGAACTGAGTAGAAAGAAGCCTACAGGACTTGTGTGGTATGTAGGAAGCATGTTCTGATTGGAGGAAGAGTAAAAGTGAAGACCATGAGGTGCACCATTCTGGGAAACAAGCTAAAGAGCAAGAGGGCCAGAGTGGAGCAGAGGAAGAGGAAAGGGAGCAGAGGGCACTTGTGGCAGGATTTTGATTAATCTTATGTATGAATGGAGCCATTGGAGGTTTTGAGTGGAAGACTGTGGTGATCATCCTTGTGTTTAAAAGTATTTGTCTGGAGTGGTATGGAAATCCAAGTACAAAGTATTAGAACCTCAAATCACAATGGTGGTGATGTAGGATGGGGAAATAGCTGCTCTGCATGCTATTCAAAGTCAAACTGAAGGCTTTGCAGAAGGATTGGTCATAGGGGACGAGAGGGGAGCCAAGGCCAGACCACAGGTTGGTGGCTAAAGGGTGGTACTATTCTTTACAAAGCCCACAGAGTGCCTCTATAGAGAATCAGATTCACACCCAGGGCCATGTGGCTTCAGATCCTATGGTTTATGAAGAGTCCAACATCCAGGGAGGCGTGAGGAGCTGGGGGGAGGCTGCACATACAGATGTGATAGGATACATACAAGAGGAGTAGGTCAGGAAGAGCTTCCTGTGGGAGATTGCTGGAGGCTTGGAGCAGGTGGAAGAAAGTGGTACAGAGTGGCAAGCAGTGCCCCTTGTTACACAGAAGGACTCTCCCAGCTGCAGTAGAGTGTGAGGGGGGACAGTGGCCATGCTCCTGATTCTGTCCCTCCTGCACATATGGTGGGGAGTGGTATTCTAGTTGCCCTTTCCTCCTAGTAGCCTCTCCCAAATTCCCTGGTTCCTTCTGAAATCCGTGAGATTTTGTTTCTCCTTTGTTACCTTTCATTCAGATGAGGCAGAGCTGTGTGACCTTGGCTGTCACTTAGCCTCTCTGAGCCTCACATTCCTCCTCTGTACCATGTGAATAGTGAAACAGTCTCAATAACTGGCAGAAAAGTGACTGGAACACATCCTTCACCCTTGTCCCTTTCACCTAGTGTGGCCATCCTGCTGTATCTGAGCCGCAAGTACAAGGCCCCTGACCACTGGTACCCCCAGGACCTGCAGGCCCGAGCCCGTGTGGATGAGTACTTGTCCTGGCAGCACACATCCCTGCGGAGTTGTTGCACCAGGGCCATGTGGCAGAAGGTGAGTCCCAGAACAGGACACCTCCCAAGATGCTAAAGGGATAGTATATTTTTGTCAGTCATGGAACTTGAACTCAGGGTCTGGGCACTGTTCCTGAGCAATTTGGGCTCAAGACTGGTACTCTATCACTTTGAGCCGCAACTCCACTTCTGGTTTTCTGGTGGTTAATTAGAGATAAGAGTCTCACAGACTTTCTTGCCTGGGCTGGCTTTGAATTGTGACCCTTAGATCTCAGCTTCCCTGAGTAGCTAGTATTTTACAGGTGTGATCCACCAGTGCTGGGTGGTACTTTCGGCTTAAAGATTTCCATTCAGACCTGGAACTTTCAGAACACCAAATCCTGGAGTGCTAGAGACTGCTAGTTGTGGTGTTTTAGGAACATACCCTTTAACTACATCCCAGGAGATTCATAGACATGTCCCACTTGGGAATTCTCGGGTGCAGAATAAGGTAGGGAGAGAATGGGTACAGAATAGCTGCTGCACTGGGAGGGCTTTGTGTTTATTCTGAATCATAAGGAAAGTGAGAATCTTTGGAAGCCTTCATGCAGGAAAAGAGCCAAGGGAGACCTGAAGGATTGTGATACATAGGATGGAAGTATGCTAATGGATGAGCATTAGGCAGAGTCTGATCCTCTATCTGCTTGCTGGTTTTCCAGATGATGTTCCCTGTGTTCCTGGGCCATACTGTACCCCCTGAGACACTGACAAGCACTTTGGCTGAACTGGACAGGTGTCTGCAGCTTCTGGAGGACAAATTCCTGCGGGACCAGCCCTTCCTTACTGGGCCCCATATCTCAGTGGCTGATTTGGTGGCCATCACTGAGCTGATGCATGTGAGTGCCATGGAGTAGGAGTGGCTCTCGTGAAATAGGGAATCCCAGGAGGAAGACTTTGTCCCTGCTGTTGATTCTGCATGAGTCATTTCATCCTCTATGAAATGAGCCTTCATAGATAAAAAGTTATCTTCAAACTGGGCACCAGTGGCTCACACTTGTAATCCCAAACTATTCAGGAGACTGAGGTCTGAGGATTGACGTTCAAAGCAAGCCCCATCAAGAAAGTCTGTGAGACCTTTCTCTCAGGCAGACAAATCCAAAATATTATTTTTTCTCTGCTGGTCCTGGGCCTTGAACTCAGGGCCTGGGTATTGTCCTTGAACTTTCTTGTTCAAGGCTAGTACTCTACCACTTGAGCCACAGATCCACTTCCAGCTTTTTGGTGGTTAATTGGAAATAAGAGTCTCACAGATTGTCCTGCCTGCACTGCCTTCAAAGTACAATCTTCAGATCTCAGCCCCCAGGGTTTATAGGTGTGAGCTACTGGTGCCCAACTCAATACAAACTCAGTGAATGCAGACTATAGCAAATTGAAGGAAGTACAGACTTCTAAATGAAATGTTTCAATGTAAAGCTTCTTAGAATGAAGCCATATGGACAATTTTCTACATAACCAGGAAACACTTCCCTTTCACATTCGTGAAATCATGTTTTTGTTGTTGTTTGGTGCAAGTACCAGGGCTTGAACTCAGGACCTGTATGCTATCCCTTAGCTTTTTTGCTCAAGGCTAGTACTCTACCATTTGAGCCATAGCTTCACTTTTGGCTTTTTGGTGGGTAGTTGGAGATAAGTCTCATGGACGATCCTCAGATCTCAGCCTCTTGAGTGTGAGCCACTGGTTCCAAAGAGACTCTTATCTCTAATTAACCACCAAAAAGCTAGAAATGGAGGTATTGCTCAAGTAGTAGAGTGCTAGCCTTGAGCAAAAAAAGCTAAGGGACAACACTCAGGTCCTGAATTCAAACCCTAGTTCCAGCACAAAAAAGGGGGTCTTTGTAATTCCTTATATAGGGATATAAGAGGCCTTCCTATGGCTTCTCATAGAAGAGGTTAACACTATCCCCCCACCCAGCCCATTAGACACGTGGTGGAGATGTTAAAATTCATTTGGAGAAACTGTAAGGCAGGTCATGTTGCCTTGTGTTTGGCTGTACCTAGCCACTCTACCTGGATCCTTTTCTCTACAGCCGGTGAGTGCTGGCTGCCGGGTGTTTGAAAGCCGACCCAAGCTGGCTGCATGGCGCCAGCGTGTGGAGGCTGCAGTGGGAGAGGACCTCTTCCAGGAGGCCCACGAAGTTGTCTTGAAGGCCAAGGACATGCCTCCATTGGACCCTACCTTGAAGGAGACATTTAAGCACTCATTGAAGAGTTTGTTGCAATGAATGACTTGTATGGACCTGTGGATCCATCCAGAAAAACAATGATTTGTCATAATAAAGAGACAAAGTTGCCTGTCTCTCTGGTTGTAATAGGATAAGTCCATGAACTCTCTGGTAAACAGTTCCTTCCAGGCACCGTGCCCACTTTCCTTTTATGTACTTAACCAATTTTACTCTTAACATCTGTTCCAGTTTGACCTGGTTGGATAGCTTTAGTAAACACAAGGCTGCATTCCTCTTCTTTTGAAAATTTCCTGTGGTTCCTCACTTCAGGGAGGCTAAAATGCAAGTCACTGAACCCCATTCTTCCAAACTTCCCCCTTTGGTTATATTCATTTTGTCACCAATGCAGGTTAAAGTTAGTGAAGTGTACCTTTAAAAGTAGGGCCTGTTCCTTAGGGTTCCTGACTTGCATCACAAAGTAAGAATTTCTGGACAAGTCACAGTGGTAAAAAAAATAAAACTTGGCAGAGCTTTATTGAGTAAGTAAACAAGCAGGCAAACAAACAAAAAAAAAGTGGAAAAAGGGGCTGGGAAGATGGCTCAGTGGTAGAGCGCTTGCCTTGCATGCCTGAGGCCCTGGGTTCAATTCCTCAGCACCACATGAGCAAAAAGAAAAAAGCCAGAAGTGGCGCAGTGGTTCAAGTGGTAGAGCGCTAGCCTTGAGCTGAAGAGCTGAGGGACAGTGCCCAGGCCCAGAGTTCAGGCCCCATGACCGGACCCAAAAAAACAAACAAAAAAAGTGGAAAAACAGAACGAAAGGGGCAAACTCTAACAGAGTGTGGGTGCTCTTGTGGAAAAACAAAGAGACACATAGTTCCCTGGCTGTTAGGACTATTTATTTGGTAAAGGCAAGGCAGGGGTATGACTTTAAAGTTATATAAAGATAGATGTTTTATCTTTGTTGTAATTACTCTTGGTGTTAACACTTTCTGAGTTCCTGGGTGTTTTGGGCATATCTTCCAGGTAAGAATGCATGCTGCTATAAAAACAGATGCCTATCCTTGAGATAAGGAAAGTGTCCTGTTCTCTTGTCTGTCTACCTTTTGGGTAGGAGGTTGCTTACATTTTGGGGGAGCATTTTTCTCAGGAAGGCATACATTCTGTCAAACAAATGTTAATTAGGGTGAGAAATGTATGTCTGAGGAAGGAATGCATCCTGCTGTCCTCTCTGAAGCAAAGATAGTGCTTCTGTGTTTCTCAATACCATGTTTCTGAGTTGCTGTCACCAGGCCTCATTTTCTTGTTTATCCTGCCTCATTTTCCCCTAAATGACATTGGTCCCTTAAGCTTAAGGGAAGTAGATGGATGAATATCCATACCTCATTTCCCTCAAGTCTATCCTGCTTCATTTTCCCCTAAAATGATTTTGTTCCCTTAATCTTAAGAGAAGTAGATGAACTAGCTTTAAGCTTGAGTTTTTTAAATTCCTGGCAGCCATTTACCATGCCTCGTTTTCCCCTAGTCTATCTTGCCTCAGTTTCATACCCCTCCCCTGATCACGTTGGCCTCTGCTCATATTATCTTCACCTTACCTTCTTTGCCTGATGCCTCTACTAGCATTTAGCACCATGTCCCTTCTCTAGGAGATTTCTCTGACCTCCCCTGTCCCAAACCAGGTTAGTTGAACTACTGGTGCCTTAGCGCCAGTGTTGCCCTGCCTCATTCTGGCATGAGTTAGGCTCCTTGCTTCTTGGTGTGAGCATATGTCACAGACAGTAAAGTGATGTCTGATCAGAAACAGCCTCTCTCCACCAAATCTCTCTCCTCTTTCTAAGGTGATGTTGTCTCCCCCTGGTGGGTGCAGGGTTGCTTCATGAACATCCTTACAGGGAGAGAAATCCCTAGTTATTTTTTAGTTATCCATGTACTGAGCAGCCTTGGTGTCCCATACTTTTTCTTAACCCTAACCCATCTTCTCCTCACCCAACTCTTGGGTTCCAAACTCACAGTCCTCATGACTCTCACAACCTATTAGTCTTGTGTAATGGGCTTCTTTTTTGCAAATTTTCTAATAAATCGACTCCTAACCAGACAAGAAAGGTTGATGGAGTCTCTTTTGCCCACTTGCTTTTCCATGGAGGTTCTTACAATATCCATCCTTAAAATTTCCTATATGTAACTGGCTAGTGCAAGGTATATTAAATAGGTAGATTTCATTAGGTAGCCGATGAAGAGAACACAACTCACTATTCAGGCAAGACAAGAAGTTTATTTACCGAACTGCTGCCCCTGCCATGTATGATGGAGGGACATGGCTGAAAAAGGAAGCGCGGCAACCCACCCTTGAGCCAGGACTTATCTAGGCCAGAGACAGGAAGAAGTGTGGCCACATTGCTTCTGGATGTGACCTCAGGGTCTGGAACCTTCCTATGGTCAGATGGGAGGCGTGTTACCAGAGGTGGCCAGGATGTGACCTAGCAGGAGGGGAAGGTGACTGCTTCCAGGTGTGCCAGGTACCTAGGTAACAGATACTGGGCGGAAACTTAGCCAAGAGGTAAGGAGGTGTCCCTGTGCAGACCTTACAGCTAGATTGTCTTGTCTTAAATAATGTGACATTGCTTGGTATAGTGACTCATCATTTACACAAAAGACCAGTGTCTGGGGGGAAGGGGGCAAGTGGAAATGCTCTTGATCTAAGGACTTGCCAAGCCCTACTGGTGGGCAGGTCTCCAGTTTGTTGAAAAGAAGTGCAGATTCAGTGCTCAGTGATACCATGCTTGCCTATAATACAAGGCCCTAGGGTTGGCACACACTGGCGGGGGAAGGGGGAGATTACCGAGGGAGTAGAAACAGGAGAGTCAAAAGTTTCAGATCAGCCTGAGCTATGCAGGAAGTTCAAGGCCAGCTGAAATTACATGAGGAAATTCTGCAACAGAAAAACACACAAAGCCGGGCGCTGGTGGCTCACACCTGTAATCCTAGTTACTCAGGAGGCTGAGATCTGAGTATCACGGTTCAAAGCCAGCCCGGGCAGGAAAGACTGTGAGACTCCTATCTCCAATAAACCACCAGAAAACCGTAAGTGGCGCTGTAGCTCAAATGGTAGAACGCTCGCCTTGAGCTGAAGAGCTGAAGGACAGCGCCCAGGCCCAGAGTTCAAGCCCCACGACCGACAAAACACACACACACACACACACACACACACACACACACAAGGGATACAGCAGATTCCTACATTGAAGTTGCTTGACTTTCGAAACCATGACAGTTCGTTCAAAACCCACATGCAAGGTGATGGCTCCTGCAGAACTGTGTATTTTAGAAGTGTTTAGATCTTTTTATAAATAATGGTATAGAAATGGCTGAGCTCAACACCTGAAAGTCTGGTTTGAGCAGGATGGGCGGAGCCTGGGCTCAGTCTATGTCCAATCAGAGGTGGGGTCACACCTGACATTCTGGAAGGTAGGATTTCTGGAAATTTGCCGCCAGTACACGTGACTTCAGAGTCAGGGGGCGTGGTCCTGGCAGCCAATCGGAGAGTGAGGAGTTTGCCCAGCCAATGAGCGGCCTGGTTGTCGTGGGTCCCGCCTCGGGTCCAAAGCGGTCACTCTAGGAAGCCGGGCGTGCGGCTCCGGGCTCGGTGCTCTCTGGCTCCGTGGCTGCCGCGGACCCTCTCCGTAGACATGCCGTTCGTTGAACTGGACACGAACTTGCCCGCCAATCGCGTGCCCGCAGGCCTAGAGAAGCGGCTCTGCGCGGCGGCCGCCGCCATCCTGAGCAAACCTGAAGACGTGAGTGAGGATCCTGGCCCTGGAGACGGGAGGGTGGAGGAGATCCGGGTCGAGCTCTGTCCAAGTCCCGCCTCCTCACAAGGACCTGTACCCTTCTCCCTAGGAACTCCTTGTCGGCCCACTAACCTCTGACCGTCCTGGGCCCCCCTCCCCAGCCGTGACCCTGACGTGACCCCCAAGGACACTGGGGGTGCCCTGACCCCTGACTCCGGCCCCGTGCTCCCCTGTACCCGACGCAAACCCTGAGCCGCTCAGCTTTAGTGAAACTTGCGTCCCCTGCAGCGCGTGATCTGCACAGTGAGGCCTGGCCTGACCATGATGCTGGGTGGATCCACAGAGCCTTGTGTCCAACTGATCGTCTCCTCCATCGGTGTGGTGGGTACAGCTGAGGAGAACCGCGGCCATAGTGCCGGCTTCTTTGAGTTCCTCACCAAGGAGCTGGGCCTGGACCAGGACCGGTATGTAGGAGTAGTGAGAAAGTCTATTATGGACCCCTAGCAACCAAAGGTGGCCATCTGCCGCTGGCCTTCTATGTAAGTTTGAGAGGTGGAGGGGGGGGCAGAGAGGGGGAGCAAGAGAGAGAGGGAGAGAGAGATGGGGGGGCAGAGCCGGAGAGAGATGGGGAGGGGGAGGAAAAGGGAGAGGGCTGATTCTGCGCCAAGCCTACTGGTAGCTATAGCCTTATACCTAGCTATTCAGGAGGCTGAGATCTGGGTATCAGGGTTTCAAACCCAGCTTGGACAGAAAGCTCCATGAGAACTCTTATCTCCAATTAACCACCAAAAAGCTGGAAGTGAAGGTGTGGGCTTAAGTGGTAGAGTCCTAGACTTGAGTAAAAAAGTCAAGGCAAAGGAATGGCTTCTAGGACTTCAGTGTTTTTCCATCTGCGCACTAGGAAGGCCCTTTTTAAAACACCTTTCAGGGAAGGGATGGGTTAGGAGTGATGGGTGACAATGTTGTCAGATACCTTGTATTCATATATTATTTTATATAATGGGAACTTCTTTGTACAACTACTTAAAGAGAAAAATAATTAGCCGGGCCCGGTGGCTCACACCTGTAATCCTAGCTACTCAGGAGGCTGAGATGTGAGGATCAAGGTTCAAAGCCAGCCCGGGTAGCAAAGTCCCTGAGACTCCTATCTCCAATAAACCACCAGAAAACCAGAAGTGGCGCTGTAGCTCAAGTGGTAGAGCGCTTGCCGAGCTGAAGAGCTGAGGGACAGCGCCTAGGCCCAGAGTTCAAGCCCCATGACCGACAAAAAATAAAGTAAAAAAAGATTAAAAAAACCCCAAAAACCTCAGGGGTACTACAAGGGTCCTTGGGATGGCTTGTGTGATGCACCTTGTCTTGGTACCTGGCAAGATAGGAGGGTGTTTATTATCCTGAAGAAAGATTTCAAGGAGAACTTTTCTGTTCAGAAGGAAATCTGTGTATGTCCTGAGGATGAGCTTTTGGACTAGATGAGGCTATAGAAAGGAGGTACTGAAGAGAGCATTGGCTTGCATGTTTAGGCATTTGGATTCTGGGCCCAGCACAGCACAGAGACCTTAGACATACCTGAGCATGAAACATCTCATTTGCAGCCTCCTTTTCTGTGAAAGGAGGGGGAGTGTCAATGACCTTCCCTTCCCCACAAGAAGGCTCTTCCCCTCAGACCTAGCCATCTGTGGCAGGATTAAAGTTTCCTCCTGGAGGGAAATGTATGTTTTTGTTTTGTTTTGTTTTTGTTGGTCATGGGGCTTGAACTCTTGTCCTGGACACTGTCCCTCAGCTCTTCAGCTCAAGGCAAATGCTCTATCACTTGAGCCACAGTGCCTCTTCCAGTTTTCTGGTGGTTAATTGGAGATAATAGTCTCACGGACTTTCCTGCCTGGGCTGGCTTTGAACCGTGATCCTCAGATCTCAGCCTCCTGAGTAGCTAGGATTACAGGGGTGAGCCACCGATGCCCGGCTGTTGAGGGAAAATATTTCTGAGCCTAGTCTATATCTGTAGGCAACAATGGGCATGAGAAGTCTGAAAGCTCCGGTTGGCCTAGGAAGGCTGGTGAGGAATTGCTTGTTCCTGCTAGCTGTTCAGTCTCTGTCCTCAAGCTGGGGAGAGAATTTTAACAAATAACCAATATACTTAACTTGTGCTACGAACACTATATCCATAATCATATTTGATCCCTACCAACCCTGCTCATGGCCCCTCTGTGTAGACTTGTCATTCCCAAGGTAGATAGCTCCATTGTATTGACTTTACAGGTGGAAAAACTGAGACTGCCATCCCTTCTAGTCCCTTATTCCATACCAGGTTATCCCAATGCCTAGTATTCTTCACCAGGAACATCATGTCATTTCTGGAAGGGACACTTTCATTTATCTCACAAACTTTAATTAGGATACCCTTTGCCTGGTCTTAAGTCAGACTGAAGAGGCCAGAATGGGCTGGTCCCCAAGGACCCTGCAGACAGGAACAGGGAGAGCTATCGCCCTTCAGACTGCACAATTAACCACATGGCATACCTACATTGTGTTATGTCTGCTCTGGGAGGGCCATGCCCATGTATAGCTATCACCTAGCAAACTATTCTGTCTGGGTCAGTTGAAGATCATTAACTGTGATGAGCAGATTGGAAAATGGCTTATGGGCTGATGTGGACTGGTCTGAGAGGCCACAGCGGGGATGCCTGGTAGGTGTCTTGCAAGATTAGGAGTTACCCAAGGAACTGACAACTTTTTCCTGCTTCTTGAAGGATAGTTATCCGCTTTCACCCACTGGATGCCTGGCAGATTGGGAAGAAGGGGACAGTCATGACATTTTTGTGATTGGCAACAAGGATCCATGGCATCTGTGAGCTGACTATCCCTTCCAGAGAGGCCTGATGCTAGCAGCCCTTCCGTAGACATATCTGTGGCTTTACCTCAGTTTTACTCTTCACTATCCTCACACCAAATAAAGAATATCATTATTCAAACATGACTTTGTGTGTGTGTGTGTGTGTGTGTGTGTGCGCTCGTGTGTGTGCACGCGCGCCATCCTGGGACTTGAACCTAGAGCCTAGGTACTTTCTCTCTCTCTCTCTCTCCCTCCCTCCTCTCTCTCTCTCTCTCTCTCTCTCTCTGAATTTCTTTTACTCAAGGCTAGCACTCTACCACTTGAGCTACAGTTCTACTTCTGGCTTTTTGGTAGCTTATTGGAGATAAAAGTCTCATGGCCTTTCCTGCCTGTGCTGGCTTCAAACTGTGATCCACAGTTCTCAGCTCCTGAGTAGCTAGGATTACAAGCATGAGCTACCATCACCTGTCATATAACTTCTTTGGGTGTGGTGGGTGGTCCTGGTGCTTGAACTCCGGGCCTGGGTGCTGTTGCTTAGCTTTTTCATTCAAGGGCAGTGCTCTGCCACTTAAGTCATAACTCCACCTCTGGCTTTTTGGTAGTTATTAAAGATAAAAGGCCTTTCCTTCTGGGAAAGTCAGCCTCTTGACTAGCTGGGATTACAAGTGTGAGCCACCAGAGCCCAGCTCAAACATGACTTTTACTTCTCTAATTCCTTTCCCAACATCTGCACTATTGTAGACAATGGCGTTTAAGAGGCACACTGAAGTGGGGTGTTTCCTTTTTTCAGAGATGCTGTTTGGTACATTTACAGTGCTGAAATTTTGAGTGAAGGGCTAACCCTAGAGATTCTGCTCTTTACACCCATGTGTGTAGGCCAGTGGGGACTTGGGTGGTACTTAGTCTAGCCTGGAACTTCCTACATACTCTGCTGATACTGTGAATTCTAACTATTATTTTCTATTGACCTGCCAAATGGGAATAGCTGCATTTCAGGGACCTTCCCTGGACTTGACTTTGTACATGACTCTTGTTGAGAAGTTACCAAAGCCCTTTTCTTTACAAAATCCAAACCAAACATGAGAAACACATTTTGTTTGTCATCATGCTTAGCATATAAGTATAATGCCATTTTCTCTTACAACTGTCACAACCTTTCTATTTGTCTTGTGTCCCATATTCTCTTATAACTGACACATAATAAGTAAATTCATAAGAGGACCAGAAACATGATAGACTGAATGTCTTGGCCTCGCTGACTTCCCATGGGGGATCCTTTATCTTGCACATTTTATAGAAATTTACATTTGTAATTGAAGTTGTACATATATAGCCACACAATTTCAAATTATATTCAAAATTTCCAATTCAAGTAACTTTGCAACACTGATGAGACAAACTAATCATATTAAATCAACCCACTGTTTTCTGTTATTTAAATGAAACTTTTACTTCCTGTTAGAATGTGGCTCAACATTGGTCATGATAGTCTTCAAAGGCTGGCTGTAGGGACCTGGCAGAGATGATATGGGGCCTAAAGGTCCTGACTTATCTACCTACCAACTCCTGTCAGCAAGGCTCCTATTGTTTAAGAGAAGCTCAGGCTAGACCTACCTACTCAGGAGGCTGAAATCTGAGGATTGAGGCTCAAGACCAGTCTAAGCAAACAGATCTGAGAGTATGTTCAGCAAAAGCCCAAAGTGGAGGCATGGTACAAGTGGTAGGGTGCCAGCCTTGAGGGAAATAGCCAAGTGAAAATGAGAGGCCCTAAATTCAAGCTCCAGTGATGCTCCTCAAAATAAAAGAAAGAGAAGAAGCTCATTTTCATATTGAGTGTAAAGTTGTCTTGCTTTGAAAGGATGGCAACTGCTTGCCTGCCTGCCTGTCTACCTACCTACCTTCCTTCCTTCCTTTCTTCCTTCCTTCCTTCCTTCTCCCTTTCTCCCTCTCTCCCTCTCTCTCTTTCTTTCCTCTTGTACTGGTCCTGGGGCTTGAAATTGCGGTCTGGGTGCTGTCCCTGAGTTTTTTAGCTCAAGACTAGTGCTCTACTGCTTGAACCCTAGCTCTACTTCTGGCTCTTTTGGAGTGGCTAATTACTGATAAGAGTATCATGGACGTTCCTACCCAAGCTGACTTGAACTATGAATCTCAGATCTCAGCCTCCTGAGTAGCCTAGATTATAGGCATGAACCATCAGTACCCAGCTTTGTTTCATTATTTTTAAACTTCTGTGACATAGAATTATATTCCAGTTTATGAAACACACTTGTGTGTGTATGTGTGTGTGTGTGCACGCGCACATGTGTGTCGTTAAGATGACTAACCTTATCTGTGAGTCAGTCTGTGTGTCTGTGTGTGATGTTAAGTTTACTGCCTAAATATGGCTTAGGAACCAAGTCCCATCTATTCTATAGGCACCTCGAACAGTTAAGGAGAAGAGGGAATCCAGCCCAGCTGGAGCAGGTAAGAAAGTCCTGTGCTACAATAGTCTTGTAGCTTGAGGGATGACAGGAGTTTCTGAATTCAGAGCCAGTGTACCTCCTCATTGAGGAAGTAATGAGTATCTTGTCTAGTCAGTGAGGAGCTTGATTGTCTTGGGTCTTTGCCCCTGCTGCCTATCTCATTTCTTTTGGTGTAAGTCAGCTCTACTGGCGTCCGGCATCATATCCATTTTTACAAGCATCTTAGGCCAGGTTCCAGTGCCTCTTACCTGTAATCCTAGCTACACAGGAGTCTGAGATCTGCAGATCACAGTTCCAAAGCAACTCTGACAAAAAGTCAGTGAGACTCTATCTCTAATAAAGTACTTCCTAAAAATAAAAGCCAGATATGTAGCTGTGGCTCAAGTGTAGAGCACTAGCCTTAAGAAAAAGAAACTCAGGGACAGACCTGGTCCCTAAATTCAATCCCTAGTATCAGCATACACAAAAAAGCATAAAGTTCTCTCTTACGCAATTTGTGGGCAGGGATAGGATGGGGGAAACTGGGGGGCAAAGAAGGAAAGGGTGACATTGTCTAAAAAAGAAATGTACTCGCCGGGCGCCAGTGGCTCACACCTGTAATCTTAGCTACTGAGGAGGCTGAATTCTGAGGATCACGGTTCAAAGCCAGCCCAAGCAGCAAAGGTCGAGAGACTCTAATCTCCAATTAACCACCAGAAAAGCGGAAGTGGTGCTGTGGCTCAAGTGTAGAGCACTCGCCTTGAGCTGAAGAGCACAAGGATAGTGCCTAGGCCCAGAGTTCAAGCCCCATGACCGAACAAAAAAAAAAAAAAGAAATGTACTGATTACCTTACTAATGGAATGATAACCCCTCTGAACAATACCTTAGTAATAATAAAATTATATATATTTTAAATAGTTTTGGGGGGGACACAAATGGAGGGACAAAGAGTGAACAAATGCAGCAGTGGTACTCACTAGAAACTGTGGAAAACAAATTATACAACTTGTGGGAAGGGACTGAGGGAAAAACTGGGAGAGAATGAGGGAAGGAATGACATTGTCCAAAAAGAAATGTACTCGTTATTTGACTGTAACCACTCTGTGCATCACCTTTATGATATATATGTTTTGTATATAGGTTACTTTTTTCTGTTTTATTTTCATACTGTGAGGTCTGAGGAAGGCATTGACTTCTGGGACCTGTGTATCCAACTAGGCCCTGGTAAGAGGGTTTCTCTCTCTCTCTCTCTCTCTCTTTCTCTCTCTCTCTCTCTCATGCTGGCACTGGGACTTGAACTCAGGCCCTGGCTGGTTCTCTATTCCTTGAGCCAATGTTCCACTTCTGGGGTTAATGGTAGATAATAGAGTCTCACAGACTTCCTTGCCTGGGCTGACTTCAAAACCTAATAATCCTCAGATCTCAGTCCCCACTGGCACCTGGATAGGAAAGTGGGTTTTTTGTTGTTGTTGTTTTTGTTTTGTGCTGGTCCTAGGGCTTGAACTCAGGGCCTGGGATCTTTTCTGCTCAAGGATAGTGCTCTACAACTTGAGCCACAGATCCACTTCTGGATGTTTTGGTAGTTAGATATAAGCGTATCACTTTCCTGTCCAGGATGGCTTCAAACTATGATCTTTAGATCTCAGTTAGGATTATAGCCATGAGCCAGTGGTGCTTTCCTGGAAAATAGTCACTTTCCCAGGGGCCTTGCAAGGGTCATTGGGATGGCCTGTGTCCTTTCCCTGGCAAAGTAGGAAGGTTTTATTACTCTGAAGAAGAAAGTCTGATTTTCAAGACATTTTTTAAAGTCTGGTTGGAAGGAAACCTGGTGTGTTCCCTGGAACAGTGGCTAACCTGGTTCCAGGTGAAGTTAGTAAGGAAGGTCATGAAGTACTGAGAAAAGTACTGAACTAGATATTTGGATACCAGGTTCTGGATGCCATACAATTAAGGGACCCTAGCCCAAGCTGGAAATGAAACATGTTGAGTTTATAGTCTCTTCTTTGAGTAAAGTGTGTATGTGGTGGGGAGGGGGATCAGTCTAAATGACCTCCCTCCTCTACAAGTAGACTTTAACCCCAACCTGGCACTCTGTGGCAGGGTTTAAGTTTCCTCCCAGAGAGGAAGATACTTCTGAGCCTATGCCTGTGAAGAATGAAAGGTATACTTTTAAAAAATAATAATTTTATTATTATTTATTTTTTTGCCAATCATGAGACTGGACACTGTCCCTAAGCTTTTTTGCTCAAGACTAATGCTCTACCCCTTTAACTATAGTTCCACTTCCCGCTACTTGGTGATTAATTGGAGATAAAGAGTCTCATGAACTTCAAGGCAGGCCTGGGTCTGCCTTGAACTGTGATCCTTAAATCTCAGCCTCCTGAATAGCTAGGATTACAGGTATGAACCACTGGCACTTTTTTGCTGTTCACACAGTGACACCTGGAAATGCCATGTTTAGTAGGCAGAAAGTGGACTATACCATACAGGTATAGACAAGGTTTATTAGGAGAACTGTCTACTTACATACGGCATACACACAAAGAAAGTAAATCTTAGTCGGTAGCCATGTGACAGTTTCACAAGGCCAAAAGTTTACAGGAGATATTCGAGGCCAAAATGTTACAAGAGATATACAAGGCACAAATGTTTACGTGGAGAAGCGTCGAGGGATGGTTCATATGTTTATATGTTGATGGC